TACATTTTAGGTATTTACAAATTAGTTTGGCAGTTTTAGGTTTATGACTTAATATGTTGTGTTTTAAAATACATATTTCTTTCAAAATATGAGTTTTAATTAGTATACTAAGTAAGCTTAAAGAAGTATCTGATCTTTTTTATTTTATTGAAATATATTAACATCAAATTTTATAAATTATAACTTGAGCATAGTCAATATTTGAGACTTGAAAAACACTTTCTAAAGTGGTTAGTATCTCTTAAATTATAAGCTAAAATAGGCAAATTTGGTTATATTTTAATATTTTTTTGGCTTTGATTTATTTTTTTGAAATAATAAAATATTTAAATAAAATTTAGTATAATAATATTTGAAAATAAGAATTACTTTTTTGTAGTATTTATTTTTAGATTATAAAAAAAAAAATTAGTTTACTTATAGATTAAAAATATACAATTTCAAAAATTTTTTAAAAAAAATTTTTTAGTTTATTTATAATAAACTTTTTAAATATTAATTTTAAATCTATAATTTTTAATACAACTTTTTAGTTTATATAAAAGATTACAATTTTAATTATTACAAGATTAGTAATTTATATATAAAAATTAATACTTGTCTTAAAAGCAAAAAAATTTTTTTAGCTTCAAAAACATATAAAATTTTAGAAAATTTGAAAAATATTTTAATAAGAATTTCTAATATTATATAACCTTTAAACTTTAATTGCTTAAAGTATTTTAATAAAATTAAAAAGTTTCTTAACAAAGTTTATAAAGTAGGTTTTTAAAAATATTTTTTGCTTAGAAAGTATATTGTTAAAATTAATTGCTAATTTTAAAAAAATTAATACAGACAAATTTGACTGTTATAATTTAAGAGATAGGTTTTTTTTATTAATATTTAGAAACTTATATGCCTCTTTTTAGATTATTATACTTCTAGATTACTTAAAAACAAAATGCTCAAGAGTTTATAGCTCTTCCAGACACCAGATACAGCTGTCTGTTTTTAATAGTTCTATATGTTTAAGGCAATAACTTAACAGAAGAGTTCTGTAAAAAAGCTGCCAAAAAATATCTTTTTTTTTATTGCATATAAACTTTAAAGAAACCCAAATAGGTTGAATAGTTTAAAGTACAGAATAAAGAAAGATAAAAAATAGAGTAGCTTTCTTTAAGAGCTTTAAGAGTTTTTTAACTAAGAGTTTATCTTCTTTTATTTCTTTAATTATAATTTCTTTTTTGTTTTAAAGCTAGTAAAGTTAGAAAGAATTCTTTTTTTAGTTCTTGTTCAAGCTAATAGATAAAGTTTCTATTCTGTAGATCAAGCTTTTGAGTATATATTAACTGAATTTAAAGCCTATATTGAAGAGATATTTCTTTTTTTCTAAGCAATATGCTTATTTTGTCTTTTTTATATATTACTTATATTGAGTTTAAGATAAAAAGTTTTATCTAAATAGAAATTAAATATACATCTAATATATCCTTAATGATTAGAGCTTGAAGTTCTGCCAGGTCTATAAACTGTTAAAAAGTTGAATATCTGAGAAGCATTTGTGAAGAGTTTTTAATTCAGAAAAAAATAATTTTATTAATTTCTGCTAGTTGCTTTCTGTTAGAAAATAACAAATAAGCTAAATACCAAATTTTAGATAAAATAAGTAAGTTTGTAATAAGAATTTTTTTCTTAAAAGAAAGATTTCTATTTAAAAGTTTGTTAAGTGATCCTTTTAGCTTATTAATAGTAGTGTTTGTAGTCAATCCAAATTTATCAACTTGACTAAGTTAATATTTAAAAATTAGCTTAGTCAATTATGATCAGCTATAATCAGATCTACTATTCTGATTAGTCAAATAAAAAACAGGTGATAATAGATAGATCTAATTGATCAGTAGTAATATTATATGTTATTTCTTAATTTGCATCAATTATTAATTAATGCTTGTCATTTTTCAATTTCTATTGGTTAATAAATAAACCAGGTTAATTCTTAATTCAGATCATATTATAATTAATAATAATTTATTAATGATGCTAATAATAATAAATAAATAAATTTTGAAAAATAATCATTTATTCTCTTTCTACTAATAAATCTACAAAGTAATTCTTTTCTGACTCTGTAAGACCTTTAAACAAATATTGAAAATATACACAAATAAAGCTTAATGAATAGAAAATGCTACAATGAATGTTTTAATATATTAAAAAATTCTGATGAGCAAAATATTATATGTTTAATTCATAATATTCAGGAACATCAAACTTATAATGTTCAACATCTAAATCATACTCAAAAGCACTTAATATAAAACTACTTAACTTAAGAATACCCAAAAATGCTTAACTTATATATTTTCAAAGTAAGTAATTAATAAAATTTTTTGAATTTAATTAAAATTTTACTGATATAATTTGAATTGAAATTACAATGCAAATAATAATAGTTTAAGTCAAAAAAACTCACCCAAATCTGTGCAGTTACAAAAAATGAATTGCAATATTAAATCTTGCTCTTGTATAAATAAAAATTCATTATACTTAAGGCACTGTGAATAAGTTTTATATGAACAATGCAAATATTTTTAGTTATATTAGTAAATTTTAACATAAATTTGAATATTTTTAGTTAAACATAATACATATAATAAATCTTTCTATTAGTTTTTATTTAATTTGCAAATTTTATATCAATTAAAAAATGACACATGTCAGTTTTCAATTGAAAAATGATATATATCAATTAATAATTGACAGAATTTACAAATGACACATAATAGTAATACATATTATGCAAAATCTGAACTCTAAATAATGATTATTTTCAAGATCTACTTTTAATTTTAATTGATATAAAAAATATAGAATGTTAATCTTAATCATGACTACCTAATACTTTAACAGTTATATTTTTAGATACTGCAAGAAAAAAACCTATAAATCTTACAAAATTTAAAGGTTTTCTTTTGGCAGTACTTATTTATACAATAGTTTTCATTTACAATTTGAAATATACATTAATAATTTTAGAATTTTCTTTTAAAAATAATAGGTTATAGACTGTATCAGGATTTAAACAGTTACACTTGTTCTTTATAGTATTACTCATATTAGAAAATAACCTCTCAGAAGGTACTGAAGTTGCAGTTATGTCCAGAAAGATTCATGCTTATTCTGCAAAAAGAGGTAATATGCTTTATATTTATTCCATCACTTCAAAGAGTTATATTTCTCATAAAGCAGATCTTTTGGATCATATTTAAAAATTTCTGAAATTGAATAATATATTTAAAGCTCAACATCAACAGGCAAAAAGAAAGAGGGTTCAATATTATCATCAAAAAAAGAAGCCATATCTGTTATTAGAACTTGATTAATAATGGGTATGTCACTTTTTTTTAAGAAAATTCAATTTTTTTATGTAATTCTTGCATTACTTTTTATTGTACTGTATATGATGCTGTTGATAATGACTTAAAACAAAGGTCAAGAAGCATAGCAAGCCATTCTACTATTTTTGGATCTTCCTATCTGAATGCTATAGATGTACAAAGAATTTGGTGTGTTTCAATGATGAAAGGATATATATGTGTATTTTTAATTTGATCAAAATTTTTAAAAAAATGTCTTATAATTAGATACATTATACCTAGTATCAGGTATTAATTACCACTCATGAATGTCAATGCTTATGCAAAAGAATACAATAATTGGCACAGTTCTTTTAGTCCTTTTTACTCTTTATCTAATAATATTCTTTTTTTTAGATTATTGCCATTAATACAAACTGTACAGTCTGAATTATTAACTAGATATGTAATCAATTTTACAACTGAATTTTGGAGCTCAAGAAGCTGCTTAAGAACAAAGTAAGTAGAATTCCACCTAGTAGCAATGTTGCTTGATATAGGCTCTAAGATACACATATTTACAGTAGGCTGATTTGTATTTTTTTTTTCAATTACCTCACATTAAATTTTTCAAAATTGTGACCTGTATTACGGTTGTAAAAGTATTATAATTTTATATAATTAATTTGTAGTAAGTCTTAGTAAATTAGTTTTTATGTAATTTATAATTTGAATATATAGTGCAATAAAAATTATATAAAATTTAATTTACTGAAGCTTACATAAAATTACATATCTTGTAAAATTAAAACTTTTATAACATATCTTACTTATATTTATCACAATTTACTAAAAATTATTTAATGATTTTGCATATCTGATCAAGGTTTCACTTTTTTTCAAACTATTAGTGACTGCAAAATAAATCATATAGGCTGTACAACCAAGGTATATAATGTCTAATTGCTGAATTGCCTTTTTCATAAATAATGTGTTATTAATTATCACAGTACTAATTTTATCAAATATTTTCTATTTTGCAAGAACTTTTCATATAAAATCTCCAATTCTATCTCCTGTATGCAGATAGGTGAAATGCTTAATTGTAATAAGAGATTAATATATTGTGAAGTTTTCTGAAAGCCAGTGAGTGGTTATATTAATATATGAAATATGATTTTGTGTTTATAAATCAGTAGTTATACAAGCAAAGATCATCATTTGGTTCATCATTTTTTTAATATATTATTGATATAAATTACTAATTTCTTTATTACATTTTTAACTATATTAGTACAAAGGACCTCAAACTATTGATTAATTTTATAACAGAAGTCTCAAAACTGATCACTATTTATACAGTCCAAGGGCATTATCACTTCAACTAGCCAGGCAATCAACTGGTATGTAATATGACTTTGTTGATTTTCTAAAAAAGGTAAATTACTTTCTTTCTGCTTTTAAAATATTGTATTGATTGTTGGTTGATCAATTGTTAATATAGATAGTTGTGGTTCCTATTTTTTAGTTTTAAAAATTCAATGTTCAGTATATAAATATGTGGCTATGCTAGTAGTTGATATTGTAAGCATGAACACTATTAGACAGCATTCAAAAGTACTGTCACTCTTATCTATATGGACTATGCAATGCTTTTTTTAGTTAATCTGTTTTGGCAAGTATATTTCTATATCCAGCTTTTTCCTAAGTTTTTTTTTCTATTTACTGCTTTTTGTTTTGATTTTGATTTTGTAAAAGTTTCACTTTAAGGAAAGTAAGAAGTAATAGACAATGATTGAACTGCAGTATCTCTATCATCTTCAGCAAAATTATTGTTATCTTCATTTAAACTATCATCTTTATTTGAATTAACATTATTATTTAACATATTATTATCTAAATTGTCATATCTATTATTAAAACTATAAGTTTCTTCAAACTTATTATATAGACTATTTCAATTAACAAATTTATTAACAAATGTTTGATTATTATACATTTTTATTACTTATTAGATATGTATAAATCTTTTTGAGAATAAAATTCTATTAAATTTTGTAATTAAATTACAACAATACAAAAATTTTAAGGCATTAAATAAAGATTTTTTATTATATATTACATAGTGTACTATAATATTATCTATTGCACTTAATTAATATACAAGTTGAATATGCTTGAATAATTGTATTAAATGTTTACTATTGTTTTATTTTTATATACTTATTGCTATTGTATTCATTTAGAGATTAAATTCAATATGTAAAAATAAAACTTCAGGCTTTTAAGTTTATTATCTATTCTTTATTAGATTTAGCCTACAAAAAATCTAATCATATATGTTATTAGTAGGGCTGAATTCGATAAATAATAAATAACAAAATTGAAAGCCTAGAGTCTTATTCTTCTGCCAACATTCATATCAAAGCAAAGAAAAGTAAATGCATATAATTATATATCTCTATTGCATTGTGTTTATAAAATATAAATAGAAAAACTGTTTAAATAAATTTTCGATGAGGATTTCTGTATGTCTGCTCTAAACTTGAAAATAGAATCTATTATAATGACCAGTTAAGAAACAAGTACAAATTTAACTCTGAAAATATTTAGTTGTAAAGGCATAGCATTATAGCTGTTTTTATAAATTTTAAAACAATTGATAAAAATTGATCTGCTGAATTCAATAAATTTTTGAATTCAGTATTATTGAATTATTGTAATACCAAAAATTCAATTCTAATAACACTAAATTTAAAAACTTATGAATTCAACAGGTCAATTTTTATCAATTGTTTTAGAATTTATGAAAACAGCTGTAATATAAAATAACATCCTGAATATGATTAACAAATAAAGATATGATCAACTCTTTTAAAGTTTTTATTTTTGACATAGCATTCTGGAACATTATTTCTGAAATAATAAACTAATAGAAAACATAAATTTATAACTGATTGGTTAGATATAAATATCAATGATTATTATTACATAATGAATTAAGGTTATTTGTTATGCAATAAAAAGACAGAATATTATTATGTTATATAATAAAAGTTTATTATTTGTATATTTTTATTACATTATTGTTTATAAAGAGAATTATATAAACTCATGCATTACTGCATTATTGTGATATCATAACTTGTATACCTAAAGAAGCTAAGCAATTATACCATATTTTAATTAGTTAAAACTGGCTAAATTGATTTTTTTAAAAATTAGTTAACTAAGTTAGCTTAGTTGATAAAATTGACAAAGCAAAAATTGACTACAAACACTAATTAATAGTTGCAGCCTAAAGGTTTTTTTGGTTGGCTATTTATAAAAACATTGTAGTCTAAAATAATAATAATGTCTTATTTCTCTAATTTAATGAATTGATTCTTATTATAAAGCTCTACTCTCTGTGTAATAGAAGTAAGTAAGACTAGTTTTATTTTTGTTTTATTAATCTTTATATTTAAAGTAGCCTCATATAGGCTTATTAAAACCTGTATTTTGTTCTAGTTAAAAGAAAATCTAATTCCTATTGTTAAGTTATTAGCATATGCTAAGGTTTTAAAATATTAGTTTTTTAATTTAATTTTTTAAATTTGTCCTTTCAGAGTTCTTATAAGAGGCTCAAAAGCTAATACATATAGCAGTGATAAAAAAAGATTATTTTGTCTAACTCTTTTTTTAATTCTAAATCGTTTAGAGATGTTGCTTGCCTTGACTATATAGGCTTTTTGGCAAGAAAAGAGATTATGAAGCAGACTAATAAATTTAGAGTCAAAGTTTATATTTTTTAAAATAAGGTTTAAAAAGTTATAATTGACTTAGTTAAAGGCTTTCCGTTAGTTAATAAAAAGTAGTTAGTATTGTTTAAATGAGTATGATTAGTTTCTCATAGCAGTGGTGATATCTAAAGCTGCATCTATAATAGATCTGTTTTGAATAAATCTATGCTACTAATGTAGTATAAGTTCTTTACAAATAAAATTTAGTTGATTAGCTATAATCTTCATAAATATTTTGTTATTATTATTTACTAAAAATATAGATTTCAGTTGTTTATATTTTCCAAATTTGTTGTTTTTTTAGATATTAGAAAAATTAGACTCTTGTACTAAAAGGTTGGCATAATTTTTGAGTTTAAAGCTTGATTAAATACTTTATATAAAATTGGAGTTATGATCTCTTTAGTAAGTTTGTAAAACTTGTACATTAGATCATTAGTACTTGGAGTTTTGTTTGAAAGATTTTTTAATGATATTATTAATCTCTTCTTGTATAAATTATTGCATAAGTACTGAGTTGTAAGCTAATAAAGCTTAAGGCAGATTTTTTGTAATCTTTTTAGCTGAAGTAATGTTTATATCTTCTTTCTTGTATATTTTGGTTTATATATCTCTAATATATTGAAGAGTATTTTTACTTGACTATAACAAGGCCTTAGAATCTTTGATGTTCTTTAAGAATGAATAAGCTTTTTTGATTTTATATTTAGTAAAAAATTATTTTATAAATTTTTCTCTCTGCTCAATCCATTGTGCTTTTGAGCATATTTGCTATTTTTTTATAAATTGCAATAGTTCATCTTGAAGGTTTAGACTTAGTTTGTTGATTTGATTGTATAAAAAAGAATTTTCTGAGTTGTAAGCTAGTCTTTTTTTAACTAAGTTATATTTTTGTTTAGTTTTATAATTTTGTTTTTAGTAGCTTTTGACTTTCTAAATGCTCTTATAATAGATTGTATATGAACTTTACAAAAGTCTTAGTTATTTGGTTTTTCTAATTCTTGTAATTTCTTCTAATACTTTTTTTTCAGTTTTTTATTTGAGAAACAGCTTTTATTAAATCTTTAAAAAGTGGCTCTCTTCCTTTAGCTTTAAAAAAAAGAGTACATTCTATCAAAAGATGGTCTAAGTTGCTAAGCTTTGTATTAATTTGTAAAAGAAGATAAATATTATTTTTATTAATAAAAATATAATCTAAATATATAATTATTATCTGATTGCCTTATATTTTTTAAAAATATATATAAAAAGGTCTCATTTTGACAAAATCTAAGAAGTCTGTAAAGTTTCTAGTAAGGTTTAGAAGTTGCACTCTTGTTGAGTCTCACTGAGGTGCTGCTTTATTAGTTTTATCTTTTTCTGAATATAAATTAGTATTAAAATCATTTCTAATTATGTTGATAATATTTTCATTGATTTGTAATGATCATTTCTCAAAGAACAGTTTTCTATTATTTGGATTAAAAGAAGTATATATATTGGATATTTGGAACATAAAATCTTTAAATTTAAAATTAGCAATAATAATTCTATTATTCATATCTATTTTGTATTTTTAAATATTATATCTTTGTTGTTTGCAAGTATAGCTGTTTTGTTTAATCAGTTTGAATTAAAAATTTACTAATTTTTAAGAAAGCTTTTTTTTTTTTTTTTTTTTTTTTTTTAAACCTTAGATAGTCACGCTAGTACTTTATTAATATTCTAGTAATTACTACAATTACATCAATGTTTAACAACTAAGTCTAGCATCACCCAGCTACCCTAATGGTGCCTAAGTGCAGACCTGTCACATTACTTCAAGCAGAAGTAAATCACTTATCAGACTACTTAAAGTTTATAATGAAAGGGTCTTTCTCCTTTCATGACAAGCTCCAATATTGTCTTCCTAGCTTCATCTTTGATTTATTTTTTCTTCTCTTTTAATTATTGAGCAAGAGAATTCTATAATCCTTGTCTAAAGAACAACAAGATATACTAAAGAAAAAACTAAAAAAGAGTAAAGAAAAAGGGAGGACTAACTACAAAACCTAAACATAAACCAAAAGAAAAAAGAAAAAGATACCAAAAAAAAAACAAAAAAAAAACAAAAAATATGAAGGCACTATTTTTGCCTGTGCCAAGCTTTAAAAATTCTATATAATACTAAATAAAGAATACTCCATATTTGCTTTATCTCCATATTATAATATATTCCATTTATTATGTGAGGAGAATGGTTAAAGTTTTTATTTTCCTCTTAAGTTTGACATATATTGTCCATTATAGGTCCGATACTTGTTTCATGGTTTTTTTGTAACTAATGTTACCGATTTGGAAAGATAAACAATGTCAATCCTTTGAAGAAAGTACACCAGATTTCCCACTTTTTGGTAAAAATTCTGAAAGAAAAATCCAGTAGTAAGGACAAAAAGAAGAGCCAACTTGAAAAGGAGTTGTAAGAGTTATGCTATATAGAATATTATATTAAACCAAGTAACTATTTAGGCCTAAACCCTTATAGCACTTGACAAAGCTTCAGAGCTTATCTACTACTTCTTTGCTTGGTAGTACTCCTGTTTTACTAAGGGACTTCGCTTACAAGGGTTCGAATCTTTTTCAACTCTTTTTAGTTACAACCAAACATACAGTAAATAGCCTTCTTAGTTATCCAAAGTAGAATTTATTATATTTAAATATAATAACTATATAGTTTTCATAGATCAGACTTTTGGAAAAAAGTTGGTGTGAGGGATCATCGGAAAAAGTTGACTTTTTGATATGTTTGAATCATCTTCAATTGGTTCTAAATTATAAAAATAATAAATATAATAAATTAATTAAAAATGTTGTTGATTTACATTATTTTATGTTTCAAAAAATTCTATATTTCTATTTAGAATATTTTTTTTTTATTAAAGACTATACTTGTAATAATACTTTATTAACTTTATATCAGATTAGCTATTACAATTATTTTTACAGAGATAAGAGTACAGCTAGTCATATATATAACTTTTAGTTGCCTATTTAAGTAGTTCATTCTAAGATTCTATACTAAATGCTGTACCTATAACCTACTAGAAGATTATCTATTTAAACCCTCTAATCATCTGTTCTGTTATAT